TTCCCCTTCATTTCTTTGGATTACTGGAGCAACTTGTCAGATTAAAAAAAGAAAAGGACAACTTTTTTCATTCCTTAAATCTTTCTAAAGCCTGTGCTCATATTGACATAGGGCATATGATATATGAGCCTTTAAATAATATAAGGGAAATATTATAACTCCTAATCTGCTTGATGTCTGACATGTGGAGTTTGCGTTCTCTAAAATCAAAGAACGAATTCTAGGAACAATGGAGGTTAAGAGTAGGAAGTATTTATTGAAAGAAAGAGTTTTTGTCTAAGAGAGACAGAAGGGGGCCTGGAGAGTGGACTGCTAGTAGAGGTGAGGTGGGTATAAGTCGAGGTGGGACAAAACTAGTCAACTAGTAAGATTACAAGTATAGTCCCTTAGGTAATATTGATCCAATGGAAAATCACAAGGTGAGTACAAGATGGGTCAAAACTATGGTCAGCCAATAAGATTACCACTGAGTTGTATCCCCAAGTCCTAGAAATTTAAAGTATAATTGCTTAGGTAATATTAATTAAATGGGGGACCAAGTCGAAAGTCGCGTAGCAAGCATACATAGAAGGGACAAGGATTTTCAGGGAAGGAATGGATTAAGGAGGTTTTGGTTCCCCCACCAAGGTGACTGATGCCTATTTAGAATATCAATCACTGCTGTTCATTCTTAGGGGAAGTTTGTGGGTGTAGTCAATTCTGTGTCTTGAAGCCTGGCCTTTAATGAATGGGCCTCTAGCCACAATTGTCTTTTGTAGTGACTTTCGAGGGCCTAGCCCTGTCTGGTTGCCTGTATTTCTAACTTAGCTGTCTACAGTAGTATAACTCACACTTCTGTCAGACACAACTAGTGTAACATCCAAACATCATGAACATTTTGGTGGCAGGGTGTGCTGCTCTCACCTGTGTGTGATATATGGAGCAGCTGGAGGAGTGTGATAGAATCAGGAAGAGGAGGGAGGAGGAAATAGCATGAGAATCTGGCCAGATTACTAGACAAGCCTGTACCTGTCATTGGTGCAAACACAAGCACACTGAAGGTTCTGTAATAGGAACATCTGGTGGACCTGCATGCTTAGGTCTTCACTAGCTTTGAGCTGGCTGCCGATATGCTCATGATGCAGGTCTCTCCTATGGGTCCTATACTGTGATGCAGTGCTGGATTTTCTGGAAGAGAAGGCTAGTCAACTTGTGTACCAGGCAGCTTTCCCCCAGAACTGCTTCCATCACTTAAGGCATGACTACTCAGTGTGCCTATTATCAAATAAATGGTAGTAAGGTTAAACGAAGCTGGGTTCAATATGCTCTCAAACTGGCCTGTCTCCCATTCTGGACCCATCACTTGGCCTCTCTGGGACCTGAGGGGCTGGTGCAATCTAATGTGAAAAAATTGTTATTTCTTATCCCTTCCTTCGTCTCTCCCTCCCTCCTCCCTTGTTCCCCTTCCCATTTGAACACTTTCTTCCCATTTCCCAACATCCATTATGCCAAAAAAAAAAAAAGTTTTTTGAGAGGGTCTTGCTGTGTAGCTCAGGTTGAATTTGAACTCAAGATCTTCTGGCCTTACCTTCCCAAAAGCTGGAATTACAAATGTGCACCATGTCCAGCTATTTTCCAAAAGGAATTTAAAGACAAAGATTTAGCCAGGTGTGGTGGCCCATGCTTATAATCCCAGCACTCTGGAGAGGCTAAAGTGGAAGGATCATGAGCTTGAGTTTAGCCTGGGCAACTTAGTGACACAGGAAAAAAGAAAGAAAGAAAAAGCTGGGGATGTAGCTCAGTGTGAAGGCCTGGTTTCAACCCCCAGTAACAGAAAAAAAAAAAAAAAAAAAAAGCATTACAAACTTTAAAATAAGCTAACTAAAAAAAAAAAAAACCTAACTAGATTGTTATTACTGAATTCCACTTGTCCTTTGAGCTGTAACATTCAGGTTCCTTACAGATTGGTAAGGTTTTTTTTTTTTTTGGTACCGGGGATCGAACTTGGGACCTTGCACTTTCGAGGCAGGTGGCAGAACCACTGAGCTAAATCCCCAGCCCTGGTGAAGTATTTTTAAAAAATAACAAAAGCTAGTATTTACTAAGCACATAGTCCTGACAACTTCCTGGAAGAGGGTGTACTCCTAGGGAGTGTGTCAGAAAAATGGAGGATCTTGGAATGGAACTGGAGCCTGTCCTTTACCAATGTGTTTTCATTCATTCATTCAACAAATATTTATTAACTATCTAAAGTGTAGTTAAGTACCAGTAGTACAGCCCAGTCTAAACGGGAGAAAGACAATAGATGAATGCAGAAACATAGCAAGACCCAGTCTCAAACATTAAATGAACCCAGGCATGGTGCACACACCTGTAATCTCAGCTACTGGGGAAACTAAGGCAGAAGGATCACAAATTTGAGCCCAGTCTGGGCAATTTGTTTTTTGTTTTTGTTTTTTGTTAAGGGGAACCGCACTTAGGTTTGCCAGGCAGATGCTGTGCCGACCCCAGCCCCAAGTCTATTTGATGAGATCCTCTCTCAAAATAAAAAATAAAAAAGGGTCAGGGATGTAGCTCAGTACAAAGGTCCTGGGTTCAATTCTCAGTACCACATGGGGAAAAGAGTACAGTGTCACACGACAGTAGGGAAAGTGTTTCATGAAAGACAGGTAAAAAAGATTAGCATAGAGACAGGCACAGTGCCAGACACCTGTAATCACAACACGTGGGAGGCTGAGCAGGACTGCTGTGAGTTCAAGGCCAGCAAGAACTACATAGCAAGACCCTGTCTCAAAAAAAAAAAAGGACAAGGGCTGGGGATCTAGCTCAGCGCTGCCGCTGCCTGCCTCGAAAGCACAAGATCCTGAGTTCAATCCCTGGTACCAAATAAAGAAGGACAAGCATAGACAGGTGATTGTTTATTCAATGTGGCAACATAAGGCTTGTTGATTTCCTTGTCAACAGCTAAGGAAGAATAGGGCAGACAGATTTGAGGATTGAAGAGGAAATAGAGGGGAGAAAATGGAGACTATGAATGTAGTCTTTTTTCAGGAGTTTCACTGCAAAGAGGAGCTAAGAAATAGGAAGACAGGAGAAAGGGTAAGTTTTTTTTTGTTTTTGTTTTTTTTGCAATGTTGAGGATCAAACCAAGGGCCGAAAATTTGCAAGGCAAGCACTCTACCACTGAGCTCAGGTTGTGTATTTTTAAGATGGTAAAGAGTCACAAGAAGAAACAGATAATACATTAAAGAAAGATCTTTGATAAGGCTAGAGGGAGTAGGATCCATAGTACAAGGGGAGAGTTTGCTCTTTAAAAGATAGAAAGACTGGGGGGCTGGGGATTTAGCTCAGTGGTTTTGATGCCTGCTCTGCAAGCGCAAGGACCCGAGTTCGATCCCCGGTACCAAAAAAAAAAAAAGATACAAAGATAAATCTATAACAGTGCCAAGGAGAACAAGAAAACAGGGCAAATGCAAGCAGGCTTTCCATTTGGAAGGAGAACATTCCTGGAATGTGAGAGGCATATAGTGAGGTAAGGAAAGTACAGGAGTTTAAGAGAGAAAGCATGAGAAAAGCTACCTATGAAAGTGGAAAAGTGAATTTATTCCGAGAAATTTAAAAAGGTTGCCAGGCAAAAGCCAATGCCCTGCCAGGTGTGGTAGTGTGTACCTGTGATCCCAGCACCTAGGAGCCTAAGGCAGGATGATTATCGAAAGTTTGAGTCCATCCTGGGCTACCTATGAGTTCAAGACCAACTTGAACAACATAGCAAAATCCTATCTTAAAACAACAACAACAAAATGAATGAGACAAGTTATGAATATGAGAATGTAAGAAATAGAGTGAAAAAAGTAATATTTAGTGGTTTATAAGTTTTTTTTTTTGAGACAGGGTCTCACTATGTAGTTCAGGCTGACTTTGAACTCATTATGTAGCCCAGGATGGCCTCGAACTCAACGCAGTCCTCCTGTCTCAGCCTCCCAAGAGCTGGGATTACAGGCGTGCACCACCACACTGCGGTAAAATCATATTTAATGTTTTGTGTGTATGTGTGTGTTGATACTGGGGATTGAACCCAGGGACTTCACACTGAGCTACACCCACCAGCTCCCTATTTTTAATTTTTTTATTTTCAGACAGGGTCTTACTAAATCGTCCAGATGGGGCTCCAACTCTCTATTCTCCTACCTTACCTCCCTCAGTGGTGGGATTACAAGCATGTGTCACCACTCCCGACAATGTCGTAATTTTTTTGGTACTGGGGATAGAACTCTGGACCTTGCGCTTGCAAGGCAGGCAATGTGGAAATGTTTGAAGTACTTCAATCTGTTCATAAAATGTTAAGTGGGAATAGAATTAAAATTTATATTCCTCCTGTCATTTGTATTTGTAAACCATTATGTACATAGACAACCAAAGGCTCTTTTCTTAAAATAGAGTGCACCCACCCACTCAAGACTAATTCAAAATTTATATTTCAGCAAATTTGTATTCTTATGGGATTACAAAACAGTAACATTGTGTGTGCTTGAAATCAGTGAAACTCTTTAATTTCATTGGCTCCGCTAAGGATAGGATAGATAGATAGATGGCATTCAGTTTATAACTCTGAACAGGGGAAAATAAAATCTATTTTTCTGGGCAAAGCCAGTAGACAGCTTCTAGAGGAAATCCAGAAAGAATAGAAACCTCCAACTCTTCTCCCCAGGGCTGATAGAGCCCTTATCTGCTTTCCCAGAAAATTGCTTAGGCATGCTCATTCAAATTTCTCCCAGCAAATCACAGTAACATTCGGCCTACGCCTTCTTCGCTCATTTGCCGACTGGAAAGCTCAGCCTCCGGGTGCCTCCCGCCTCTCGCCCGGCAGCCAATAGGAGAGATTTTCCGTTCGTAACTGAGTGTCACCAAGTGCCGCACTTGTAATTGGCTATTTGAGCTGTCGATCGAGGTGTGGGCGGTGCGGTGCCAGGTTGGACTATATAAGTAGAGGACAAAGGCGGCGCGCCGCCTGTGTCATCCGCCATTTTGTGTGAAACAAGGTGGCCTCTACGTTCCCTGAACGTCTTCTTCGCTTCTGCCTCGACCGCCCCTTGACCACTGACATGTCTCGGGATCGGTTCCGGAGTCGCGGCGGTGGCGGTGGCGGCTTCCACCGGCGCGGAGGAGGCGGTGGACGAGGCGGCCTCCATGACTTCCGCTCTCCGCCGCCCGGCATGGGCCTCAATCAGAACCGTGGCCCCATGGGCCCGGGACCCGGCGGCCCTAAACCCCCGATCCCGCCGCCGCCTCCGCACCAGCAGCCGCCACCACCGCAGCAGCCACAGCAGCCCCCGCCGCAGCAGCCCCCGCCGCACCAGCCGCCACCGCCACACCAGCCGCCGCAGCCGCCGCAGGAATCGTCAAAGCCCGTTGTTCCTCAGGGGCCCGGGCCCGCTCCCGGGGTGGGGAGTGCACCGCCGGCCGCCGGCCCGGCCCCGCCCGCCACTCCACCGACCTCCGGGGCGCCGCCGGGCCCGGGCCCTACTCCAACCCCACCGCCGGCTGTCACCTCGGCCCCACCTGGGGCACCGCCGCCTACGCCCCCCGCTAGCGGGGTCCCGACCACTCCCCCCCAGAGTGGCGGCCCGCCTCCTCCCCCCGCGGGGGGCCCGGGGCCGAAGCAGGGGCCGGGCCCTGGCGGCCCTAAGGGCGGCAAGATGCCCGGCGGGCCAAAGCCTGGTGGTGGCCCCGGCCTCGGCGCGCCCGGAGGCCACCCTAAGCCACTGCACCGAGGCGGTGGGGAGCCCCGAGGGGGCCGCCAGCACCACCCGCCCTACCACCAGCAGCACCACCAGGGACCCCCGCCTGGCGGGCCCGGTGGCCGCAGCGAGGAAAAGATCTCCGATTCGGAGGTGAGTCCCGGGAGCGACGCGGTGGCGGCTCTAAGATGGCGGCGCGCCCCACCCCCGCCGCCGCGCGGCCTCCATTTTGTCGGCGGCCGGAAGAGCGCCTGCGCGCTGCGGGGGCGGGGCGGTCTGGGCGAGCGCGGGAGGAGGGAAGGGCAGAGCCCGGTAGCTGGCAACTAGCGTTCGGCAGATCGGAGACTTGGGGTTGGGGGCAACTGGACCGTTCTGGTCTTAATCTACTGAGATTCAGTTTTTGTGAAGGACACTGAGCTTATGTGGCTGATAGTTGCTGATAAGTCGTGTTTTGTCGGCGAGTAGGCGTGTGTCTACTATTAACATGCTGGGTGTTTGAGGCTTGATTTTGGAAATTTTCAAATACAATAAAATCTGACTTTGACTTTAAATGGAACAGAAAAACAATTTATAAACTTGTCCAGTTCGGAAAAAGCAAAAATTAGTTTTTGAGGTTTGTTTTTTTTTAATAGTGGTCACTGGTATCCGAACAAATTCCCTTCCTTTTCTATTAGGGGTTTAAAGCCAACTTGTCTCTGTTGAGGAGGCCGGGAGAGAAAACTTACACTCAGCGTTGCCGGTTGTTTGTTGGAAATCTACCTGCTGATATCACAGAGGATGAATTCAAAAGACTGTTTGCTAAATATGGAGAGCCGGGAGAGGTTTTTATCAATAAAGGAAAAGGATTTGGATTTATTAAGCTTGTAAGTGTAATTGTCGGGTTTTTAAGTAGAATTCTTTACTCTTGCAGGAAAATACACCTGCTGGTTTATGTAATTATTGGCTCGGGGCAAGGGGGCCAGGTAGGATATTTACTTTTAGTGGTGTCAGGGAAGGCTTCTAGAACATGCTTGAACTGACCTGGAGGGAGTAGGAATTAGATTTATGACAATTTGGGAGTGACCATTACCCTATTTTGAAGGCACTAACATGAGTAATTTCATGTTTACAGGAATCTAGAGCCTTGGCTGAAATTGCCAAAGCTGAACTTGATGACACACCCATGAGGGGTAGACAGCTTCGAGTTCGTTTTGCTACACATGCTGCTGCCCTGTCTGTTCGTAATCTTTCACCTTATGTTTCCAATGAACTGTTGGAAGAAGCCTTTAGCCAGTTTGGTCCTATTGAAAGGGCTGTGGTAATAGTGGACGATCGTGGAAGATCTACAGGGAAAGGCATTGTTGAATTTGCTTCTAAACCAGCAGCAAGGAAAGCATTTGAAAGATGCAGTGAAGGTGTTTTCCTACTGACAACGTAAGTTGTCTTTGGTTTATTCTTTTTTTTTTTGGTATGGGGAATCAAACTCGGCCCTGCTCTTGCCAGGCAGGCGCTGGTCTTTGGTTTATTCTAAGATTGCTTTTGATAGTTTTATGAGGATGTTGCAATAAAAACTGGAATATGGTTAAGATGGAAACGTTTTTGTTCTCAGAACACCTCGGCCAGTCATTGTGGAACCACTTGAACAATTGGATGATGAAGATGGTCTTCCTGAAAAACTTGCCCAGAAAAATCCAATGTACCAAAAGTAAGATTAACTTTTTTCAAGACTTAACTAGTCCAATTATTTAAATACAAGATGACCCCAAATTGCATATTTTTTGTTAATTTTTATAAGGCGCAGTATAACAGGAAATATAAAAAGGACCATTTTCTCAGACTTATTAATACAGTAATGGACTGGTTGATGAAAATGACACCTGCTTGAGCGACACCCAGGTAGACCTCAGGTGACTGCTTAGGTAGACCGTTAGTTAGGTGGTTAAGTATAAAAGCCAAGTGTGGTGGTGAGTACCTGTAATCCCAGCACTTGGTAGGCTGAGGCAAGAGAGGATCACTGAGGGTTCGAGGCCAGTCTGAACTACATAGCAATTCCCAGTCTCAAAAAAAGTGTGAAAGAGAACTTGCTAAAGGTTACATTTTGAATCTTGTCATTGAGCTGTTTTTGTGAGTTAGGTACATTCGCATGTATGCTGTTTATTATAGATCTGTGAAATGCAATTGGTTAGAGGAAAACGAGGTAAGGAGGATAGGATTTATGTCTCCTAGGGGATCAAACTCAGGACCTTGCGCTTTCGAGGCAGGTGGCGGAACCACTGAGCTAAATCCCTGGCCTGAGTTCTTTATTTTTTTAATAAAGTATATCATTTATTAGTTCTTAACTAAATTAATGCAGTTTGGATAAATAACTCGTTTCCAACTAATGTTAGAATGAGTAAGAACAGGCGAGAATAAGGGGTCCAGGAGAAGTTTGTGATGAGTTTGGAGAGACAGTATTGAAAAGGAGCCCTCTTTTGAATGAGCAGCATCACCCAGAAAAGTATAAAGTTGTCAATATGGTGTTTTCTTCTAAAAGAAATAATCTGGTATTGTATTGAAGATGCCTTAGTTTTTGTTACTGTATCATTCTGGTAGTGTTGTTTTTGTGTATCAAGGTGGTTTTTATTCTTTTCAAGTGATAGTCTAGGAAAAAAAATCCTGTTTAGTTTTGTTTTGCAGTGCTGGGAATCAAACCCCAGGGCCTTGTGCCTGGGAGGCAACCTCATATGCTGACAGTGCTAGTGCTGTACCATTGAACCATGTTCCTCTCAAAGACCAGTTTTGTTTTGTTTTGTTTTTTTGTACCAGGATCAAACTCGGGACCTTGCACTTTTGAGGCAAGCGACAGAATCGTGACCAGATTTTTTTTAAAAAAAAAGGAATTAGGTAGTATTGCTTACAAGCATCTACAGACTGGCTCATGTTTAAATTTTGTTATGTTGTTAGGGAGAGGGAAACACCACCTCGTTTTGCTCAGCATGGTACATTTGAGTATGAATATTCTCAGCGGTGGAAATCCTTGGATGAAATGGAGAAACAACAAAGGGAACAAGTTGAAAAGAACATGAAGGATGCAAAAGACAAATTGGAAAGTGAAATGGAAGATGCCTATCATGAGCATCAGGCAAATCTTTTGCGCCAAGGTTAGAGAGCCTCCTGAATTTTCCTGGTAGGATCAGCTACTTTTTTTTTTTTTTTTTTTTTGGTACCGGGGATCAAACTCCCCGGGTCCTTGCGCTTACACAGCAGGCTGCAAAACCACTAAGCCAGATGCCCGCGGATCAGTTACTTTTTAAGCTCATCAGAACCTCATTAATGTGAATCTAAAACATGGTTTTGTAACACTCAGATTTAATGAGACGTCAGGAAGAATTAAGACGTATGGAAGAACTTCACAATCAAGAAATGCAGAAACGTAAAGAAATGCAATTGAGGTAAACTTTCACTTCTTACTGTCATTTCTTACTGTCATGTTCTGAATTTAGACAAGATCTAGTAAGTTTTCCAGGTAAATCAGGTGAAGGCAGAGGTTAAATAATTATGTCAATGTTGACTTAACATATTCTAAAATGATATAGTATATGTTAATAAATCTAGTTTTCTTTATCAGAATGTCACTTGTGCTATGCTTCTATACTCAGGCTAAGCTAAGCCTTTGCATTTTTACTGTAACCTAGACTTTCTAACATTCTCAAGCAAACTACTAGCTTTTTTCAAATTGAATTTTAAGAGATGTGGGTGACACTTTGGTTTACATACTTGATGAATATTTCCAGACAAGAAGAGGAACGACGTAGAAGAGAGGAAGAGATGATGATTCGCCAACGTGAGATGGAAGAACAAATGAGACGCCAAAGAGAGGAAAGTTACAGTCGAATGGGCTACATGGATCCAGTAAGTCAGGTATTACTGCAGTCTAGTTGGAGTAGTGTATAGGTTTTTGTACATATCTGGAATGGAAGCTTACATGAAAAAAGTCTCACCAGTGTAGTGGTTGTTTTGTCATTTCTCTAACTAAGTATATTTTATTGCTACAAGTTGTAATTTTTTCTGCTCCTTGTATGGGCCAGAAGATTTCATTGGATTGGAAGGTATTCTTAGGTCATTTTTTTCCCCTTAGTCCTGGGAATTTGAACCCAGGACCTTTGGCACTGAGCTACATTTCCAGCCTTTTATTTTGGGACAGGATCTCTATACTCTATAAATCACCCAGTCTGAGTTCAAACTTGGGGTCCTTCTGCCCTTAGCCTCCCAGGTGTTAGATTAAAAATGTGTACCACCATACCTGGCATGTAGGCTTTTTGATAATCGAGTCTGACTAGATTGCAAAATACTAATTTCATTTCATGTGTTTATTTTTTGAAACAATCTAGCTGTCCAGTCTAGGCTTGAATTTACAGTGTAGCCCAGGCTGGCCACGAATTCTCAGGATCATCCTTCATTCTCACAAGTGCTGAGCTTACAGGCCTACATGGCCGCGCCAGGCACAAGATTATTGTATTTATCTTTAAAAAACACTTCAGTCAGTAGAAAAAAATGCCTTTGAACCTTATAATTTCTTTATACTCAAGGCTTGGTGTTGCCAGTTGTGATGGATTACATTCTTGTAATCCCAGCACTCAGTCTACTGAGGCAGGAGGATTGCAGTGAGTTCAAGACCAGCGTCAGCTGCATAGTGAGACCCTGTCCTTTTTTTTTTTTTTTTTTTGGTACCAGGGATCGAACTCGGGTCCTTGCAGGTGGCGGAACCACTGAGCTAAATCCCCGGCCCCTAGAGACCCTGTCTTTATAAAAGCATGGTGTGGCTTAGATTAGGTGATGAATAAAATTTTTTTCTTTCAGAGAGAAAGAGACATGAGAATGGGTGGCGGAGGAGCAATGAACATGGGAGGTAAGTGTGAATATAAGTTAACAGTATCATCAGAGGGCGGTTTTCTGCTGGAGTTTTAACCATCATCTTTGTTTCCTAGATCCGTATGGTTCAGGAGGCCAGAAATTTCCACCTCTAGGTGGTGGTGGTGGCATAGGTTATGAAGCTAATCCTGGAGTTCCACCAGCAACCATGAGTGGTTCCATGATGGGAAGCGACATGGTAATGTATCCTGTGGGACATAGTACAAAAGAAGCTCTCATTTTCATGACTTTATATGTGGTTTTTTTTTCTTCCCCATTTGTTTTAAAGTAGGTGACTGGACCTCTTTAGTTCCCTCTATATGTAATATTGAAGAAAACTTTGGCAACGTAGAAGAAATTTGTGGCAACCTAAACAGATTGCCAATGAGGAATCAATGCTGTTAGTAATATGTGGAGTTATCTTTGGCAATAAGTAGATTTAGGTGTTTTTCACTTTGTTGCTTGTGCACTTTTGAACTCCAGTGCATAGCAAATCCAAATTCTGGATATAAGATAATGTGTATGATTATTCTACACCCAAGTGAATAATCAAATGGCAAAGTCATTCTAAGCTGGTATTTGCCATAAGTAGGAATCAGACTTGTAGTTTGTAGGATTAGGCATGTTTTAGTGATACGTAGGACTTTGACCTATATTTGCTGTGGCTTCTGTCCCATGAAAAGGGAATTGTTTAGTGCTTTGACTCGTCGTATTCCACCTGTTGGGCCTGTCTGTAGGTACACTTGAAATAAACTGGCATCTTTATTTTCCTAGAAAAACAAAAACAATTTTAAGCATACTAATGGTGTGCATTTGATTTGAACCTTCTTGATGCTATTAATGTTTTAGCTGTACAGAGAGCCTGTCAGATGCTTTAGAACAATCACAGTGAATTGGTGTGAGTGGTTGTATCAGGGCTTTACAAATCCTTAGGACGGAATTTTGGTGGGTTTAGAAAGTGCGTTTTCACAGCTGAATTGAATCGGATTAGTTCACCTATAGGTTTTGAGAAAGGAGCTGCAGTGTGTAGCTCACAAGATTCACTTTGTAACTGGAAACTAAGGACTAATAATGAGACCATACCTATTTAAAATCAGCCTATGGCTTTTTGAGAATTAAAGTTAGACATCACTTCTCAGCCTTTTGGCTAAGATCAAGTGAGAATTAGAATGGATGGGTTAAATGTAGTACTGTTACCTTTCATGGAATTGAGTTTTTAAAGTATGTGGGTAATATTTTGGTTAACATGCTTCATACAGATTGCTAGCTGTGTATCCAGTTCATAAACACAAGTTTGACATGATGTTGCCATAGTTGAGGACCTATATTTCTTCATAGTAACTAATGAATTCTCTGTTAAAACACCAGAAACCCCCCAAATTTCCTTTTTAGTTTGAGGTATAAAGTACAGTGCATAAAACCATGCACTTTCTAAGGTTTTCAAAAGGATTGAGTTTAATCTTCTCAAGTAATCTTAGTATTCTGGGTTTTTTAAAAAGTGCTGAGGAATTATGTATAGAAAGAGTTAAACCCTGCTGCCATTTTAGTTTCTTTCCCTCTGGAGTAGTACTCTCGGTAATTGGGCCATTTTAAATGGAATTTAAAAGAGTAGTGTAGGCTGCTGTGCTTGCCATACCTATTAGGGTTCTATTTGGGTACATAATGTTTCTATTTGGAGTCAAAGTACCTGAAACTACATGTAATAAGGAAGTCACAAACTGCTTTATTGCAGTCACTTTTGTTTGGTGTTAATGCTGTTTCTGGAGATGTATAAAACATGGGATCATAGCAAAGTGTCAGTTTACTTTTCAAAGACCTAAGGGCAAAGCTGGACTATTAAACAGGTGGGCTGTTTGTTCAGTCACTTTGCAACAATGTAGAATAGTATTGTGAACATAATTGTCTCTGGTATTTATAGTGATGGCTCTGAACCTGTGAGAATATGGCAACACAAGTTTTTTGATCAAGCTAATGTGCGGGTTAAGTGACTAAATCTTTTAGTTTTTTATGCTTTTTCTTTTTGTAGTCTGGTAGCATTTTATTAAAACTTTCAACCTTTTTAAGATTTCTGCAACTTAGCAGATGTGTCTTTAAGATCTTGAAAAGCACAAGGTTTCTTATGCAGCACATGCCACTAACTGGTGAGTAGGTCTTTGTCATTTCATTGAGTGAATTGACTGTCTGGTTAGGCTTGTTAGGCTTACTTGGAGATTAAATTTTCTGTTCAGACTTTGAAGGTGAGAGTTTGCAAGCTTTTCAGTGGATTAATCTGATGTGAAATTTTTTAGAACTCATTTTGGAATGGATTTTCACATCTGCACTAATTCTTAAATTTTTTAGCACTACAGGGATGATCTATTCTTTGAAACAGGTGTATGAGAATGGCTCAAGTGGGAACATACCACAAGGCATGTATTATCTTAAACTAATTTTCAAATTACCCTTTTTTCCTTTCTATGTTCCCGGTACCTGTGGATCGACTCATTGGTGATTGTATCGACGAACGTTGACTACGGAACCTTCTAAAATATTTACTTAACACACATGGACATCAACTACATATAATGAACTGATTACTGTTTCAATAGCGTACTGAGCGCTTTGGGCAGGGAGGTGCGGGGCCTGTGGGTGGCCAGGGTCCTAGAGGAATGGGGCCTGGAACTCCAGCAGGATATGGTAGAGGGAGAGAAGAGTATGAAGGCCCAAACAAAAAACCCCGATTTTAGATGTGATATCTAGGCTTTCATTCCAGTTTGTTTTTGTCTTTTGTTTAGATACCACTTTTAAATTCTTGCATTTTAGTAAGAAATCTATCTTTTTATGGATGTTAGCAGTTTACTGACCTAATGATTTGTAAATGGTCTGTTTGGGCAGGTAAAATTATGTAATGCAGTGTTCGAAACAGGAGAAAAGTTTTTCCTTTTTATTTCCTTTTTTTTAACTGTATAATGTCCTCAAGTTAATGGCAGTGTACCTTGTGCCACTGAATTCCCAAAGTGTACCAATTTTTTTTTTTTTTTTTTTTTTT